AAAGTTCATAATGTAGCAGAAACAGTACAAGTGCTTCCCTCACTCATTGGTAGCACTGAAGCCATGAATCCAATTGCACATAAAACCACAAGCATTTTAAGTAGAAAGATAAAAATATTGGAACATGTGCAAACATCTATTAAATCTCATTTCTGATACAAATGACGTTTTTTAGTTTGACTGAATTCTTAAATGCTCTGTGTTATTTCCTTTTGCACTGCTGTAAAGATGGGTGGTGGAAGAACACTAAAATAAGTCTATGAAATTTGGGAATGACAGAATTGTGTGAGTTTTAGGACCCACAGAGGTGTTGAGAAGTATTATGTGGTTGCATAGATCTTTTATACCAGGGTTACCAATGAAGGAAGAAATGAGCAAAGTTAAACAAGTCCCTCTCTTACAGACTAAGGACGTAGGCAGCTTCTTTGTTATACTCAAATAGGAGACAATCTCTTGAAGCAACTGAGTTTGCAGTGAAGAGTCTCATTTTAAAAATCAGGAGCTAAAATTAAGAGGGAAATTTTTGTGTTTAGGTTTTGGGGGGGATTTTTGGTGGGTTTTTTGTTGTGGTTTTTGTTGCTTCCCCCCCTAGTCGTCAATATGCAATTCCTTGTTTGTTTAAGTGAATAAAGGTACATGAATCACTCTGACATTTAGAATCTGTATTCAGAGCAGAATAGGCTTAGCAAAGGAAGCCTGAAGCCACACATTAAACAAAGGGAAGAAAACGAAATGCTGACTGGCTGCCCATTTATCTGTGCATTGACCACTCGGTGTGGAGTTAAGCAGAAGTTCACTTAAGAGAGCTTGTCCTCAAGCATTTGTATTTGTATTTAGAGCAGATGCACATGGGTAGAATATTCAGCCTCCGTTTTGCATCCAGAGTGTTCTAGTGCTAAGGTTTGCTTTGTGTTTCCCACTTAGTGAGCATGTGTTGGTGGGAAAAGGGATGGGAACTTGCTTGTGATACTTCATTGCGGGCTGTTGTTAATTCTGTTCTTCAAGAGAATTAAACCTTGAACATCACAAGAAGAAAAGGGACGTAGTGGACCTCTTTCTTGTAAGAGACTTCAGCCCAGTCCCTTTGGGGGTCTCTGCCAGGGCTGATGGCTTTTGCTGCTGGATGAAGCAGGCAACATCCTCTTGCTTTTGAGCACTTCCTTTGTGCTCTGTGTGTCTTTGAAACTTCATCATGCTTGAAGGAAAATTCATTTCAAGAAATCTTTGTAGCCTCTGTGACTGACATGGTGACTTTGTTGACCTTTGTCCGTAAGGCAGAACTCGTGGAATGATGGTTTTATGATGGAATTACAAGTAAGGCCACACCATATGTTAAAATGAGGGTCTTAGTTTTGATCCATGATCATCTGCATTCCTTCTAGAGCTGGAAATGATATTTTCACAGCAGTACATCCCTGCATCTAAGATAATAAATGCTTTCTATTCTGATATCAGAAACACGTTGTATTCTTTCTGCTCTATGTGGTACCAGCTGGGTAGAGAGCAGAGTGGGAACATATCTATGATCTCTGCAGTGTAGAGGGGAGGCAAGTCCTTCATGTATTGATTTTGTTACTAATTTTCCTCAAGGATCTATATTTCTCAAGTATGTTGACAAACAACAGGAAAACTGTGGTGCTGATATCTGTCATTTCCAGATGCAAGTTTCCCCAAATGCAGTAAGGAAACAAGACCTGCTTCTGTAATAACTACCTGGCACTCTGGGTGAGATGTTGGGAGGTCACTCCTATGTCACTGAGAAATGTTCTTCAGGGTTTTCTTAGTGCTGATGGGTAACTGAACTTACTGTGAGGCTCAGACCTAAACCTGGGGTATATCTAGCAATAAGCAAAGATCACAATTATCTCCAGAATCCATGGACCTCAGAGCTTGTACCATTTTGGGATGCAAAGTTACCTGGAGTGCATCATTCTACTGTTAAAATATAGTGAGTTGAGATCATCCTTATGTGGCTAGTGAGCTACAAATATATATCACCATCTAACAGCACTTGTAGGCATCTAAGAATGACTTCAACATTACTTTAAAAGCACACCACAGATTTTTTTTTTATAATTATTTCCTACTGTTTTCCATCTTCTTTCTTATGCATGTCACAGCATTATTTATAAGAATTGTTATGTCTACTAGTGATATGTAATAACATGTCATTCAGCAAGGAAAAAGAAGCTTAATCTTGTTAATATTCCATATTTCATTTGGTTGGCTCAGTGAACCTTTATGTATATATTCACTAGACTGTGTCTGTAGATGAGTGTGGAGGTGGAATTACCAACCAAACCAAATACAGAATGTTAAAAATGCTCTGTAAAAGGCTTCAAATTCTTCATTTCTGTGAAAAGAATTATAACTAGAACAGACAAGAATTATAACTCAACTGGAAAATGGCACCAGGTAAATTAATTGTAATGACACTGACTGCAGCAATGGAGAGGAAAGGTAGAAGTCCTGGTCATTATTATGAGAAAGACAAGGTCATCATATTTTGGTTTGCTCTCAGATATCACTGCTTGGAGAATTAAATAATTGTACCAGAACTGGCTATAAATTAGTTAATTTTATATGTTTTTTCCAACAAGGTTCCAGTTCTCATTATTGGAATGGCACTTGATTTCCTCCTAATTTCCTTTGTAAGACTATAATGCAAATAGTTTACATTGAACAATAAAAATCTATTTTCATTCTTTCTTCCTCTGTCTTCATTTGAATAACAAAAATCATAGCTGAAGCAGGAATCAGTGCAGATGTAATTCATTCTTACGTCATAAATCCTAAAAGGAAAAAAAACTAAGGCAACAATTTATATTTTTGACATGCCTTCATTACTCATGAGAGTTACTACCTTTGGTTTTTTCTCTTTCAATCTTTGTTTTTGATCTCAGAGTGGTTTAAAGGTAATTCATGTGTAAAACATTAATCTTGTATGTCTTTAGTCCTCATTTCTCTGTGAGTGCTACTTTTTTTGCAAGTTCAGTAATATGATGAAGCTGTGGGTCCTAGCTATGTTTAGGTCAGGTAAATACTAAAAATGCTATTAGAGATAGTAGAGAAAGAGCAGAATGATGAAACCAGGCTTCAGTAGTTTATGTCATGCCCAGAATGCCATCAGCTATCTGGGGATGGAGAGCTAAAATACATAGCAAATGAGAGTAGTCTTAGTTCTGGAACTGCTTATTCTTTTTATGTTTCAGTGCTTCATCTCAAAGTGGGACTCTGTCTTTATATGGTAGAAAAATAGTATGTGCTTGCATATATGTTGCTCGCAGTGACTTTCTATTAAATATCCTTAATTGGCAGAAACAAAAGAGAAGAAAAGTTGTTAGCAAATCTTTGGAAGCTTTGTCTGAAAAGCCAACCCTGTGGCTATTCTGGATTATGCCTCATCAGTCATGAGGATTTTGCAGTGAGAGCTCAGTTTATGCCAAAGCTGCAAAGCCAAAATTGAAACCAACTTACTTTTCTAGGATTCCATTAGCTTTGCAGTGCCAGCAGGACTTAAAATGAATAATCATTTATTTTACTTACTGGGGAAATCAGCCCTGTCCATGGATTTACACAGGGAGTAGTCCAGTTAAATAAAGCAGCCTTCTATTTAGAGTGGAACTCTGCTTTAATGTTGAATGAAAGCTACTCTGGATTGTTGGTTCTTACTTCTCTGTTTCTATATGTGCATATATTCATCATAGAGACAAGATTGACCATGGGGCTACTTCATTTCATAAGATACAGCGTTTGGCACTGCACTGATTTTTGCTTAACTTGGAAATGTTTACAAAGTTCCCAAAATGTTTCTTCTCAGACTTACTTGCGTACGAAAAACATCTACTTGGCAGCCGTGGGAAACACAAGATTAGCAGCTGTGTTTTTAATAAAAACTATCTTGAACTAATTCAGTTTCTTCACTGTATACAGCCTATTGTTCTTATTGCAAGCAAATAATTGAGGATCTCTAAATCACAGTATTTGATAGTCAAGGGTATTAAGAAAGTAATATTAAAGAAAGGTGCTGCTCTGATATGAAACTATTCTTATTTCAGGGAGGTTTGTCAGTGGTCCCTGTAGGTGTCATCCATCCTCTCCCTGTCCCATATGTATAGTCCCAGATTGCATTGTCATACAACAGGCCAAGGAATTCCTTAAAGAGACCTATGATTAATTCTTTCTGCTATTAATTCTATTCATGCTTGAATTTTGGTATCTTCTCGGAAGTTCACCTTATGATAATAGTATTCTTGGTTTTTAAAGGCCTAATTTCAGCAACTGTACAAGTCAGGTCAGGATCTGTGAAAAGATCCTAATTTCCGAAAACTTTCCCCTCCCCATTTACATTCCAAATAGGCACCTTCCTTTCCCCAGTCTTACAGATCAATGAAGTATGAGGTGCATTAATTTATACAGTTCTGTTAAACTACTGAAATAATAAGAAAGAATAAGAAAATATGAAGGCATTTAAATTGGTTGCCCACACTCTTACTTTATTTGCAGTACAAAGTACTGATTGCTAGAGTATTAAATTAAATACTGTACTGCTGTTAATATAGTTAAAAGTGGAAACTAGTCAGGTAAGTTAATTATTTTTCCAGTTTGAAAACTGTGTAGTTTAAATCCTTATTACTCATCTTCTGTACTAAAAGTTAAATCAGCTAAACTAGAGTAAGTGTGGATGTATCAAAGATACATCTTGAGCTGTTGAAAATTTTAATAACTAATGGAGATACAATTTTACCAGAGTTATATTTGGGAATCAGATATCAGGTTGTTCTGCAATTGTGTTTTTCAGAAACAAGTACTACAAGAATGATACTCCATTGATATTTTAATGTACTAACTCTGTGGCTGCAGAGGTGGTGGTGGAAGTCCACCTGAAATTTCTAACCTGGGAGTGGTTATCTCATCAAGCAGAGAAGAATTTTGTCTAGGTTCATCACTGCAAGGATCCAAGCCATTCTTACTTGACACGCACATGCAGCTGATATACGATGCTTTTTAAGTCAGCAACAGCTCCATCAACTGACAATGCCCTTGATTTTACAGATGGGGAACCTGAGGAGGAGATGCTTCAAGAAAGAACAGTGCAAGATTTTAGGCAAGATCCACAGGAGAAAGGTAAATGAAAAAGTTTGTAATAAGGTCTGTCAGAAGTGTTTAATTCCACACCTCTCAAAGTCTCTTTGATGCTAGAGACTATGGAATGAAAGTTTCACAAGTTCTGAAAGCCTGTTTCAGGGCCTGCCCAGGTATATTTTGGTGCTGAGCATGCTGGGTCCATCAGGATCTATCTCATGTTCAGGCACAACCAAGGTTCACAGTTGAAAGCTTCACTTTGTGCTGTTTCCTGTGGGTCTAATGACACAGACCTGAGGGCAGGGCTGGTTTTGCTGTGCTCTGTGCAGGGGCCACCTGCCCATCCAGGTGTGCAGACTGTGTTTGCTGGGAGAGTGCCTGGAAGCTGGCTGGGACTCAGAGCTGTGGTATCCACATCCCCTGATGGAGTGAATCCCCTTGCTTTGTTTTGACCTCCTCCCTGAAAGAAGGAAGGATACTTCCTCAGATCACCTGGTTCAGGGAGGAGGACCTGAAGGACTGGTGTCAGGGTACAAGCACAGCTTGTTTAGACCTGCTGTGTCAGGGGCTGTCTGGGTATAATTACTGTCCATTTGTATGCAAGTGAATATTCAGTGCTGCCTGTATTGCAACTGTGGCACAACAGTGACAGAGGAGGAGGTTCGTGCATTATGGTAGAATAGCAGGCATGTTGCAGTCATCTTTAATTGATACCTCTGTCCAGGTTCATGAGGATCCCTTTTGGAGCTGTGCTGCTGCTGTACTCAGTGCTATTATACTTGCTTAATCTGTCTGCATCTCCCTAAATTAATAAACAAAAGTCAGTGCATTCTTGTGCCTGATGTTGCACAGAGAAATTGTTGGTAGTTGAAGTATTCAGATGTCACAGCTATTGGTAACCGTATGAAAATCCAACTCAGTATCATACAGTGCCAAAAGAGATATTAAATCAAAATTACATCTGAAGAGTACATGTTTCTCACAATAAAATATGTATTTTTCTGTTTTATGGCATCACATTTGCTGCCTGAATTTGGATTATCTATTATACCATTATACATGTAGCAGCAGGGCTCAAAGTATTTTTGTATCTGAATAAGTTACATTTCTTTCATAATAAACATTAAAGATACACTGCTGTGTTTAATTTCTGGAGAAAATGGAAGGCAAGGAAGTAGAGAAGTGATTACAGTACCTTGTTTAAAACTGCTCCCGCTATGCAGAATTGGACAGTAAACAAATGAAGTTTTATGGAAAATCAGTTAATATTTGGTGATTCAAAATTTGTCTTTGCCAGTTACACTTAAACCAGACCCATTAGCTGCAAAATGTTCATCACTCTAAAATATTCTAGAACATTTTTATTTCTTTTTTTTTTTTTTTTCATGAAAAAAACAAAAAACCAAGTAAAAAAAAAAGGTTGCTAACTTTTTTTGTATCTGAATAAGTTACATTTCTTTCATAATAAACATTAAAGATACACTGCTGTGTTTAATTTCTGGAGAAAATGGAAGGCAAGGAAGTAGAGAAGTGATTACAGTACCTTGTTTAAAACTGCTCCCGCTATGCAGAATTGGACAGTAAACAAATGAAGTTTTATGGAAAATCAGTTAATATTTGGTGATTCAAAATTTGTCTTTGCCAGTTACACTTACACCAGACCCATTAGCTGCAAAATGTTCATCACTCTAAAATATTCTAGAACATTTTTATTTCTTTTTTTTTTTTGCATGAAAAAAACCCCAACAAAGCAATTAAAAATGGTAGCTTGTAAACTTTATAAACACACAAAACCCAAGCTTGCTTTTCAGGCTGATGAAGTGGAATCCTGCAGTCTCAGGGACTGAACATTACACCATGTTGAATAGGCAGAACATCATCCCAGTTGTAGGCTCTGGTTTCAAATGAGCTCCCTTGTCTCGTTTAGAAATGTGCAGTCTTAGGAAAGCCAGCAGTGCAGCTCTCTCCTGGGGGAGGCAGAGGAGAATGGGACTCAGGAGGGTTCCCTGTTTGATACAGCTCACTGATTTCTACTTCAAACTTGCTTGGCTTGCAAGTACAAATATGGGGGGTTTTCTTTACTTGTTTTCTTTCCTTCTTTTTATGTTTTTTGTTGGTTGTTGTGGGGTTTTTTTTGTCAGTCTGCTCAGCACGTTCACCTCAGGCTCTTGACACTCAGCCTGGGTTATTTCTATTTCAAGTATCACTGCTGGTAAAAGAGTCTCTGCAGGCCTTATTACACCTCCAACACATCTCTGTGTGACTGTCTTCAGATTATGCCATCAGTGACACCTCTGCAACATGATTAGTTTCCTGTGGTGTGGTTACAGCCTTGTGGAAGGAGTAACAAAAAGCCAGTTTAGTGTCTTTGTGTACAGGAGGGCAAAACTGGGTCCTCAGAGCATTTCCTACTGCTAGGCTGGGCTGCCTGACCTAACACACAGAGTGGGAAACAAGTGAGCCAGTTTCTGCTTGTGAAATCAGATCTGGAGAGAAAAGAGGGCAAACATTTACCCTAAGAAACATTAAATAGAAATCTATAACCTGGTGTTGTCACTACACAGAAATCAATGCCAGGATTAATTAACCAGTAAGTCCTGAGACTGTTAGTTAATTTCCGTGTGTAAAGCATTTTGTGGTTTATGTATTTCTTTATGAACTGCCAGGCCTCCGTGTGGACATTTTCAGCAGATATTTGAGAGTAAGAGCAACTCTGAGGCTGCTCTTGAGTTCTGCTTCATCCAGCACTCATTCTTCTGAGTTCATCCAGCCCAGCCTGAAGTTCAGTACAAGGAAAGAGATTCAGAGGCTCTCCCCTATCTACTTCAGTGAGTTCCTCTTTGTGACAGGAAAGCCTGACCAGGTAGGTTCTGTATCAGCCTGGCCTTTTTTCAGACAATGGAAGGCAGGTTGTGAGATTGGCCTGGAACTAACATTTCTGGTGGGGTGGGAAAGCCATTTGTTTCAAGTCAGGCTTTGGGAATGAAAATAAAAAGAATGAGACCAAAAGACAATAAATGCTGAAGAGTCTTCTCTAAAAGTGACAGTGCCAGACTGCCTGTGTGCAGCTAAATAAAGCAACAATCAAAACTGCTCCATAACATCTGACTTGTGCACGCCTTGAGACTCTTTCCAAATCAATAACCCACTCAGGCTCCCATAGTTCAAACAAGGTGTGTCTTCATGAGAGCAGAACTGAGAGCTGGCACTTTGGTGTCTTTGGGGCTGCATTCAGCTCCAGTGTCATGAGCTCTGGCAACAGCTCAGCAGCCTTGGTGAGAAAGCTGCTGGAGCACAAGCTGTTTTCTTTACCTGACAAGTGTTTGCAGATGAAAAGAGGAGGATACAAAGCTTGCATAGTCTGCCGATTGTTTTTCTCCATTCAGAAATGCAAATATTATTGAATAGTATGATGGAGAAACTGAAAAATTGGCCAGGAGACATATTACCCTTGGTTTTCCCCTATTACATTAGATAGGAAAAACTAGCAGGGCTGGAAGAAGGAGTGGAGAAATGAAAGAAGACAGGAGACCCCTTAGAGGCTTTTGCCATGCAAACTTCCTAAAAATTGTCCTTGCTTCTGGAAGGGACAAATGGGTTGTTAACACTGCAGGCTGAGGGCTGACAGAGACCCAGAAGCTACTTTATACTCACAGCTTCTGCTTTGCCAAGTATCCCTCCAAGGGGAACTCTCCAAGCAATAGCTATTCTTCAGTGAATTATCTTCCCTGGTTTTCCTACACAGGAATATACCCACAGGGAAAGAAAGGACTTCCAGCCAGTCGTGCTCCATACGCTTCCAAAACTCTGAGAATCTCTTTTTGTATGGAGCTGCTGCTGAACAGCATCTGCTTCTCAGAAAGTGTCTTGACAGCTGCATTAGTTCCTCCTGGGTGAAGGCACCAGCTAAATGAACGCTTCCTTGAGAACCATACAGCAGATGGAGATCAAACCAGACCTTTGAAATGAGGGTGATAAACCACAGGTATGTTTTCAATATATTGCAGATTGCTTTCTGCAGGATGCTACCCCACCTGTTGAGAGCTGTTTTTCTAGGACAGGAAAAACTACTCCTTGTTGCCTCTTGTGCTTCTGCCTCTTTTTTTTACATCCCTGCAGAGTTGGCCTTGGCAACCTGTCTCTCAGTTTTCAGTCAGGTCAGATTTGTTACCAATAATTTGCTGAATGATAGTCTGTTTATGACTTCTTGGTCATGCAAGAAGCAAAACCAGTTTCTGTCTCTGCTTTTGTTTCACATGTGTATGTTTTCCAAGGTTTGAATAGTTTATTTCTTGCCCTGTTCCCTTGTTTTCAGTGAATAACTTCCCATGTATTTGCATTGAATCACAGCTGATTCACTGCAAATGTGTCTATTCTTTTGAGTGTTTGACAGTGTAATATTTCATAAGCCCATTATGTAGATAATTCAGAATTTTTCAAACAATTAATAATTCTTCAACATTAAGATGCCTGCAGAAGTAGCTTGGGATTTTCAAAGTTATTCTGAATTTCTTGGATAAGTCAGTGGTGTTTCAATGTACTCATCCAGCATAAGGGAAGGCAAATAAAACTTTGATAGTTTTTAATCTTATTCAACATAATTTAGTCCTGTGTGTGTATGTGTATCTTATATCTACTTTGCTCTCTCTAGCTTTCTCTATCTCTTTATCTGTGCCTATTAGTAGCCTTATCTATGTGCATGTTAATTAAAAATGCAAAAACAATGAAATTATTATGTATATTCTTTGGAAATAAGTTACCATGTATTTTTCCTGGCTACTAGCATAATGGTGTCACGTGTTGAAATAAATTTCCATGTACAGATTCAATATTTTCATAGAACCTTTCTGAAAACAGAACTTAAAAACGTTGATAGGATGAGATCAATTTTCTATGAAAGTATCTTAAAACTAATATAGCACAGCTCAGAGTATCAGTCCTACTCCCAAAGAGTACCTTCAGAGGGGGAAGTGAAATAAGCTTGACAGTAACTCAGGTTACTTGAGTAACCTGGTCAGTTTTGGCTGTCTGGTCAAACATGC